TGGCAGGACTGCTGGCGTGGTGACTGGAGCTGTAGAATCGGGACTGTAGTAAGAACCACAGCTCAGAGTTGAACCTGCCAGCAGCTCCTTGGAAACTCTATACAGGGTCACGATGAGTCAGAACCAACTCGATGGCACTTAACAACAAACAAACACAAAAGACCTCCGTTTCTCGGGATTCCTGCTTAACTCAATGTGCCAGGAAATTTAGGGTTGGCCAGAAAATCCGTTTAGTTTCAAACCATTGTTTCTAAATGTGAGTTTACTGTGGGACATGTTATACTTGGTACAGGATAAAAGCTGGCCCCTGACATGCTATTGGTTGTATAGAGCAGGCTCTATGTGTATGGTGTGGGGCAGGACGTGGCCCTGGCTCATATGTGGTGTGGAACAGCATTGGCCCGGGCTCATTCTGTGGGGTACAAGGTAAGATGTGGCCCTGATGGGAGATGGTGTTCCAGGAGTCCCTTCCTGTAGGGAAGTCATAACTTTCTGACGCCCCAAGGTGTGCAGGTAAGACGGCAGGTTGCTGGCTCCTGGGTCAGGAGGTTAAGGAATCCGCGGATGGTAGGTGCTGGCTCCAGTCCACAGTGAAGAGTCAGATGCAGGATCCAGATCAAACTAATCCCACAAGCTTTGCCAGAGCCTTCATGTACGAGGGGGCTTCCAAAGTTTTGTTGGAAAATCCCATTATCTTTTCATTCCATTTTTCACCAACTTTTCTTTTTTTTTTTTTTTTTAAGACTTTTTATTGTGAATTTGGTGACGGCTTGCAGAGCATATCATCAGTTTTATATTTGACAAAGCAAACACAATTTATTTCGTTTTCATGATTACAATCTTGCTGTTGGTTGGTGTTCTATCAAATATGCTGATAGAGTTCTAGATGTTACAGTATTGTAGGCGCTGCCAATTCAGATGCTGACTATGGAGAATTTTCTTTTCTTTGCAGTCTGCAGGCCCAGGAGACGTCTCTAAAAAGTCGTTGGACGGATCTTTCAAAGACGCCGAGGCTGAGCGAGAGGTAAACCTTTAACCCCTTGATTAGGAGCAGTGGTCAGGGCTGTCGTCCTGGTCTCTGCTTGTCCGTGGGGGCAGCGGAGGGGAGCCCAGGGCTCATAGGCAGTGATAGGGGTTTGCTTTGCTGTTAAAGCAGTGATTTCAGTTGTTGACCACCTAGTAGATAAAAGAGCAGGTTGCAGATCTCTGACTTTCTGCAGTTTGTTCTGGAACATTCTGGAAGCTTCTTTACTTGACAGTATGGTGTCTGGTACACAGAGGGCACACTTGCCATCAGGGCACAGGGTGGAGGTGGCCCTGAAGATGAGGCTGGGGCAGGACTCAGTCACCAGGCAGATGGGGAGAGAAAGGGTCAGCTGGAGAGTCCCCTCCTCACAGTCAGTGTGGGACCCTCACAGTGTGTCCCATGGCTGGTCACCTTCCCATAGACCTTTATCGCGGGCCACAGGGAGCCCGTGAAGATCCCCAGCTCACTGTCATAAATCCAGTTTGCTTTTCTGAAGGAGAGTTCTGGCGGCTGCAGGGGAGGGGGAGGAGGGGCAGGAGTGGGGGCTGGAGGTCAGTTAGGGGCCCATGAGGGGGTGTGACCAGACCCGGCCCTCGGAGGGGCTGCACCCCTGTGTGCCTGCTAGACTCAAGTGCCACTTCACAGCAGCTGGTAAGTGCTCTGAAGTAGTGTGGTCTGAAGCAGGGAAGGCCGAGTCCTCACAAGGACGTCTGAGAAGAGCGCTCTTGTCACAGCATGGTCAGCCCATTGCTGCCTTTGCCGGTGCAGGACGCTGCCATCTAAGCCTGGGCAGAGCTTGTGGCTCCCTGCTGGCGCCCACGCTCGCATCTCCAGTGCAGGGCCTGTGTGGAGTAGAGCGAGCAGTTTCCGTCCTGAGTGTGTGGATGACATGGTCACATCTGTCCTCCTCCAGAGCTGCTCCAGTGACCATCACGCATCCACTGACGGTCTCCCCTCTCTTTTCTCTAAGACGGAGACTTCCACGAACGCATCCAGGTCCCTGACAACAAAAACGTTGAAACGGCGACCCAGAAATCCCGGGGAAGGTATGAGAGCACGTATCAAGTGCTTAGCGGAGAACGCCAACACGGGTTTGTCTCTGTAATTACAGTGTCAGGTAGGACAGCGCTGTGGTGGCTGGAAAGCAGGTGTCCTTGGGGTGCAAGGAGCGAGCAGATGGAGGGACAGGGATGAATGACAGTGTGGGCTCTGGCATGCAGGTGGGGTACACGTGTTTCCACTTTGGCTTTTGTCTTCCTGTCTGAGTCGGCGCAGCTTCAACCCCCTTAGAGTGGACAGGAAGAGTCTACAGGCAGACCACCGGCATTGGTGCATTTAAAAATACACCAAGTTATCCTTGCGAACTGTGGTTAAAAACGAGCTGGTGGGCCTGGCCTGGATGGTCCAGAGGTCGAGCCTCCTCACCGTAGGTCAGTAAGTAGAGCAAGGACATCAGCCAGACACAAGGAGATAGATGCCGGTTGTGTTCGAGGCTTGCTTGTTAAATGGAAGGATCCAGTTGATTTGAGAGGGCAGCAGCAGTTTCTGAAAAGTCATTCTTTTCCTAAATGACTCAAGTACTTGATCTACAGTGCACGTGGGATCGTTGGAATTTGTCATTTTGAAATTAGATATAGTTGATGAGTTCATCTTGTTACTTAAAGTAAGGCTCTGGTGAGCCGGCTCTTTGTGCTGGGAGTGTCTCTGAAGTGGGTACTGTCTGAGGCATGGAATGAGTGAAGTGACCGTGCTCTGTGTCCCCTTCTTCTCCTGGGGGTTTGTGGGTTTGCAGGTTTTGATGCATGGGTATCTGATGCTGTGCTCTGGCTTTGTGCCCACTGTCCATGTCTGTGGGTCATATTTATTTGCGTCCCTTGGGGGTCTGTCCTGTGTTCGCCTGCTCCCTGCCTGCCTGTGTTGGGGCCTTGGGCTCTTCCTAACTGGCTCGAGCTTCCATGCGCTCAGGATGTGCATTCATTTTTTTTAAGAATGTCTGTTTCCTGTAGTTTTCTCAGTTTATTTTAGTTGATTCTGTCGGACTGGGTTTTTGACCTGAGTGTTTGATGTATGGGTATTTGAAGTTGTTGGCATTTAAAGAAACTTCTGATTTGTCCAGAAACTTCACGGATGGAGATTGCTTTCCTGTCATGCATTTTCATGCTCATTCTTGTTTTACTTTATGACGTGAGGCCAGACTCCGAGTGTTTGTCAGCATGATGTACCAGCTACTGCAGGGCCCTCCTGATCTGCGGAGCCCATCTGCCTTTCTGTTGTCTGGAGTCTGTTTTTGTTTTCCATTCTGCTCTTTCTGTTTTACTTCAGCTTTCCTTGAACTGTTCTTTTCAAAATACGTGAAGTTCTTTTGTATTTATTCTTTTAGATAACTGTGAAAATCCCTTTGTGATTCAAAGACTCCCTCCCCACAATGCAATTATACAAAGCAAAGTAGCAGGGTCCCTTGGGACACGTGCTGAACATGTGGGTTCATTATTTGGGGAAAGGTGGACACCTTTCAACTCAGTTAGGGAGCTGAGCCCCCTCCCCGAAGAGCTCTGTGCAGATGTGTGCACATGTGTGTGTTACGTGCACATGTGTGTGTTACGTGCACATGTGTGTATGTGCACATGTGTGTGTATGTGCACATGTCTTAGTCTGGGTACTCTAGAGAAGCTCACATATGGAGATACAGGGAGGTTGACATCAAGGAAGTGGCTCACACAGGTGTGCAGATGGGGCAAGTCCCAAGTCTGTCGGTCAGATGTCAGGCTCATGAAGCTGCCCGGCTGTGGACCATGCTTGGCAGGTCAGATAAGTCAGGCAGGTGAGATGGCAGGCTGTGGACGACACCTAGGAACAGCAGGCTGGAGAGCAGGCCACTGACGCAGGTCCAAAGATGCTGAGCCAGATGCAGGATCTAGACCATCAGAAAGCAGCAAGCTTTATCTGGGTGTCCAGTATACCGGCCGTAGGCCACAGCCTCGAGGACACTTCCTTTCCAGGGCTCAGCACAGAGGAG